TGAGACTTCTGACCTCCATCCTTCGCCATGACCGACCACCATCTCGTTTATTTATTCGCTGTTTGGATTTCTAACAAATCTCTAAATTGATCAAATCTTCGTTAACTGATCAGCCGACTTCAAGATTTCAGCCCCTCCTCTGTTTCGGGTAAAATCCACATTTTATTTTGGCGTTACGAAGAGCGCCGTTTTACAGACTGATTTATTTACAGACTGATTTAAAGACTACTTTATTTACAGACTGATCTGCATTATTTTTAGAGCTCAGCGATATTTTATGGTGATGTCGGCGTTAACTTACCGTGATGTCGGCGTGCCGTGCGGACAGTTTCTTCAGTCTGTATTTCACAGCGTCTCTCTGCTGCTCCAGAGCCTCTCGGTGTTTTTCGAACGTTTCCTGCAGAAAAAGGTTTTTAAAAGTTTCACAAACATTCAGCTCCGTTTTATTTAGAGAAGCTGCAGAAACAGAAATAATAAACCACCAAATAATCCGTCACAAACTCTCCGTTTCTAAGAAAGTATAAATCGCTGCGGTCGTCGTTACTGAAGTTGGTGTAACGAGAGGAGACGGCGATCTCTGACGGTCTGACTCGGTGTCACGGTGAGTTTGACCCTAAATTAATTTTACGGCAGAATATCCCTTTAAGTGTTTCTTAAATGGAGTGGATGGTACAGGGGCTCCTGAAAACTGAAGCCAAAACAATTTGAGCGCCCCCTGGTGATAAGTAGAAGTATCGGTCCTAATGTCTGCCTTCTCCATGTGAACAGATGGGACATGGTGAGAATATCTGAGGAGGTCTGCGCTGTTTTTGAAACCCTCGTTCCTTCAATAGTTCCTTCATTTTCTCAGTTTCTGTTGTTGGCAGGTCCAAGGTCCCGGGTCCAAGGTCCCAGGTCCTGGGTCCCAGGTCCGGTGGAAAAAGGAAATCTGGATCTCTGCAGATGAGGCATGAAGGTCTTGAAAATCTCCTGGTGGACTTTCAGCTTCGTTGGCTCGATAAAACTCTAAAATAACGCAGACCACCTGACGGTTCTGGGAGCTGCTCAACGTACAAAAAAGGATTTCCTACGAGAGTTAAGAAGTCTTCTTCTTCTTCTTCTTCTTCTTCTTCTTCTTCTTCTTCTTCTTCTTTCAGGACTTTGCAGCGAAGACACTCAGGATTAAAAAGAGGCTGCAGAACATCCCGGGTTCTGGTTCTGGTTAACCCTGACCTAACTCTAACCCTTACTAATCCCAGGTTCTGGTTCTGGTTAACCCTGACCTAACTCTAACCCTAACTAATCCCGGGTTCTGGTTCTGGTTAACCCTGACCTAACTCGAACCCTTACTAATCATGGGTTCTGGTTCTGGTTAACCCTGACCTAACTCTAACCCTAACTAATCCCGGGTTCTGGTTCTGGTTAACCCTGACCTAACTCTAACGTCTCCTCTCAACATCATGATGAAGGACATGACCTCCTAACGTCAGAAGAAGCTCCATCATTGATGGACTCTGTGAGCCGCTGAAGGTCCTCCAGAACCGTCTGAGGTATCTGGGTCGATTGGTTCGGTGTCGTTGTTTTTATATTTTCACACGTGTTTCCTCCTCACCCTGAAGCAGACATCTCTCTCTCTCTCTCTCTGTGACTCTGGACGTTCAGAGCGTCTGAAAGAACCTCCAAGAAGGTCTCTGTCGGTCCGTTTTGAAGTCAAACTACAAAGGTGGACCTGTCTGTTCATGTTTCGGTTCTTTCTGCTCAGTGATCGTTCAGAGTGACAGTAAATGTTCTGAAAACTTCAGAAAGTTTCATTGACCGTCTTCTTTATGTGGGCCTGATCTACCGGGATCTACTGTGGCGTGTTGCGGGTGATCTGCTGTGATTGCGTGCGCAGTTGATACGCGGTGCCAAAGTGGTGCGGACCGTCCTCTTTAAACCAGGATTTTGCGTGCGCTATCGACTGTTACCGTGGAGACTGTGAGAGCGGCGTGGTCGTTTTGGGGAAACAGAATAAAAGTTTATTTCTATAACATCATTTAAACACGAGACAATTCAGCGTTTTTACAGAAGAAAATATTTTTGAATTTTTTATCAAAATTTACTAGAAAATTAAAATAAATCACAAACTTTTAGACCCGGAGCTCCGCAGCTCTCAGTCTCTAAGACCTTTTCTGGTTTTTTTCTGCGTCCCGAGTGCGAAGGGACCTCGTGGTCGGCCCAGGACCAGGTGGAGGGATTATATCTCTCCTGGCCTGGGAGCGCCTGGGAATCCCCCCTAAAGGAGGAGGAGCTGGTGGGAGTGGCCGAGGTGAGGGCCGTCTGGACTTCCCTCCTGAAGCTGCTGCCCCCGCGACCCGGACCAGGATGAAGCGGAAGAAAACGACAACGACAGTCCAAATATGTAAACACCAAACGGAAGACTCTCTCTCTGTCCATCGTTGCACTTTGACCTCCTTCTCCACGATGACCGCAGTCATCTGTGCGTAACACGGCGCCAGTTTAGTAAATGACATTACGATTACGATTATTTGTATCCCCTCCTCCCGGTATTTCGCGGTCTGATGATCGACGTACATTCGGCAGATTTAAATGTTTCATGTGCGCTAACAAACGCAATCCTCGCTTAGTAGATCAGCTTCTCACGTGTTTTTGTACACGCAAACCTTTAGTAGATCAGGCCCCATATGTGCTACACACACACACACACACACACACACACACACACACACACACCCACACACACACACACACACACACTTTAGGTGTTCCTGTCACTCACTGACATTTCTATCATAGATGTCACAGAGTCGGCCTGATGATGTTCGGTGGATCTATGTCTCTGTACTCATTTATTTTATTTATATTTTCTGATCTAATGACTTTTATTTTTGAATATATCAGTAAAAACGTGTTAAAAAAACTTTTCTGTATGACTATAAAACCACTTGATCATGTGACTTTGTTCAGTAACTTTTGAAAAGTTGTCTGATCTGAGGCTGTGAAAGTTTAAAGTCGCAGTGATGTCAGTGAGTATTTCATCATCAGGGAAACGTAAAGAAAGAGAGAAAGGAGGAGTGTGTTCGGTGGAGCCAGGGTCAGGTGGGTCATGGTGGTTTAAAGCTTTATTGGCTTCCATTTCAATACAACAAATGGCAGTGTGGGTTTCACTTAGAAAACAGGAAGTACTTTTCCTCACCGGTGTTGAATCTATCGGTCGGTCGGTCGGTCGGTTACTGTTTATTGGATAAAATATAAGATTCATACATAAAGAGAAAGGGTGGCTGTGATTATGGGAGCCTGAGAAGAAGAGACGAATTCTTTGAGTCGGGTTTGATGGATGTTTGGCGAGGGGAGGGGCTGATGAAGGCGGGGTGAGGACTGTTTTCCGTGTAGATCCATGTTTTCATTGAAAGACTCACTGAGCCGATTCTGTCAGAATTCGACCTACAACAGGAGAGCGGACACGTGTTCAAGCTATGAGCATGGACATTTCATGATGGCGCCTGGAGTCTCTAACGTTCTTACAAAGTTCCTCAGGAATCATCAGAAACAAAAAGCAGGAAGAAGAAACAAGCAAGTAAGAAAAGAAAGAAGCATTTCCACCCGAAGGAAGCAGAGCAGGAAGGAAAACAAGCAAACGAAAGAACATGAGATCTCATTCACTCTCATTCTTTGTCATTTTTGAACATGAGGGAGATTCACGTTTCCTCTGCAGTCTAAAGTCTGAGGAAGAGTCCGGAGGTCAAAAACACTCCGCCTCCATCTTCCTTTATTGTTCCAGGGTGGAGGAGAAAAAAACAACAAAGTCCAGGAGAGAAAAGGAGAAAAGATCTAGAAAGATCCTAGTCTAGAGTCGAGGTGTGCTATCTGCTGAATGTACAGGATGTTCATGCTGCTCTCGCTCGCTCGCTCGCTCGCTCTCGCTCGCCCTCGCTCTAGAAGAGCTTCGCCTTCTTTTTCATGTCGTTGCGTTTCCACAGAGGAAGTCTGTCAAACTCCTGGATCTCCATCCCAAAGATGTCAAAGAACGTTTCAGGAGCTAAGTGGCGCTAAAAATGAGAAAAGGGAAAACAAAGGGGGGAGGACGGGGGAGGAGGGGGGAGGAGGGGGGAGGACAGGGGGGGAGGAGGGAGGAAGAGGAGGGGGAAGAGGGGGAGGAGGAGGAGGAGGGGGAGGACGGGGAGGAGGACGGGGGAGGATGGGGTGAGGAGGGGGAGGAGGGGGAGGAGGACGGGGGAGGAGGGGGAGGGGGGAGGATGGGGGGACAGGGGGGATGGGGGAGGACGGGGAGGAGGGGGAGGACGGGGGAGGAGGGGGAGGAGGGGGGAGGAGGGGGGGGAGGAGGGGGAGGAGGGGGAGGAGGAGAGGGGGGGAGGGGGGAGGAGGGGGAGGACGGGGGAGGAGGGGGGAGGAGAGGGGGAGGACGGGAGGGGGGGAGGAGGGGGGAGGAGGGGGAGGAGGGAGGAGGGGGGAGGAGGGGTGAGGAGGGGGGAGGGGGAGGAGGGGGAGGGGGGAGGACGGAGGGGGGAGGATGGGGGAGGAGGGGGGAGGAAGGGGTGAAGATGGGGGAGGACGGGGGGAGGGGGGAGGACGGGGAGGATGGGGGGACGGGGGAGGACGGGGAGGACGACGGGGGGACAGGGGAGGACGGGGAATGATGGGGAGGATGGGGAGGAGGGGGGAGGAGGAGGGGACGGGGGGAGGGGGAGGACAGAGGGGGAGGAGGGAGGACGGAGGGGGGAGGGGGAGGACGACGGGGGGACGGGGGAGGATGGGGAGGACGACGGGGGGATGGGGGAGGAGGGGGGAGGAGGGGGGTTGTGGTTAGAAACCGAAGCTTTAAAAAAAGAGTCACTGCTAAAATGACAGAAAGCAAATGGAAAGTGAGAGATTTGTGTAAGTGAAATTTACACAAAGTGAGCGGGGAGAACCGGTACCTCCAGTCTGGTTCTGTCCACATCCCTGGGCAGTTTAGCTCTCCCTCTACTGGTTATCATGAGCATTTCATAGGGATAGACCTTCAGGAGGAGACAGGCGTCAGTGAACAGCTCAGAACGATCAGCTGAGTCAAACTTTATCAATCTGAAACTACCAAACCGGGTTATTTCGAGGTTCTGACCCAAACGGAGAGGACAAGGGTGGAAACAGGACTGTGACTGGGACTTTGAGCTGATTGGAGGCTGTCGGGGAAATGCAGGGTGCTATGGTGCTGGACTTACAGTGTAAACACGTGCAGAAGATCAGGTAACATGACAGAGAATCAGACTAACTCGATCCGGTCTAAGAACTGGACCGACACCGGGGATGTGAGCTGAGTTCATCCCTGTCCTGAAGACTGAGGCGCTCCAACGTCTAAATAACCTCAAACTGGTTCCTGATCGTTGAAATGCTCAATAATAAACAACTAGAAGTTTCTGAGACCAGCTCATATCCACACAGGAACATCCCGTCTCTGATATACTGCTCAGTATATACAGTCAGATGAGTCGTGTGGATGGCGGTCTGGGCGGCGGATTCTCACTGTATGCTGCATACAGTATCCAGCCACTTCGAGTCAAAGCAGATGAGCATGGAGAAGCCGGCATGCTGAGCGCTCGCTGCAGCTCCTGAAGCGACATGCTAATCTGAGAGCGAGTCTTTCACCTCCACATCGACCTTTTTTTGACCTTTAATGGACCCACGCTCACAGCATGAAGGTCAGTCCCTCTGGAAAGTCGCCATGTTAAACGGTTTGTACCGAACTCTGCTCCCTCTCAGATTTCAGTTTCAGTAATAAATCTGTCTCCTGGTGTTTTCATCTCTTTGGTTCGAACAGTCGAGGTTTTTTCTTTATTTACTCTCATATTTACACTTTGACTGATCTCAGCTGCACAGATTCAGACGAGTCCAAACTTTACGACACAAATTCATCTCATGAAAGTATAACTAACTAATACCTGCTTTAACAGAAACATAGAAACACTGAGTTGTTGGGAAACTACTCTAGGGTATTTAGAAACTCAGTGAAAATAAAAAAAAAACTACAGATCAAATAAAAAGACCGAAAATGTCTTTATAAACAAATATAAATAAAAAAATATATAACATATAAATAAATATAAATAAATAAATAAATTTATATAAATGTATAAATAAATATATATAAATATATATATAAATATAGATATATATATTTATATATATATACATTAAGATAAATAAAATACATATAAATAAATAAATAAAAAATATAAATACATATATATAAATAAATAAATACAAAAATATAAATATATATATATATAAATAAATATATAAATTTAAATAAATATATAAATAAATAAAAATACATATATATATACATATATATATAAATGAATATAAATAAATATTTATAAATAAATAAATACTTATAAATAGATACTTAAAATCAAATACTTATAAATAAATATAAATATATATTTGTGCTCATTTTGAATTTGATGAAGCATCGAGTTTCTAAAAAAAACAAAGAATGAGAAAATTTTATCAGAGGATCTGGAGAAATCTCTGTACTAAAGGGGGACAAGGACCAGAACCAGGACTGGATGGTTCTGATCTTCAGGGCTCTGGAGTGGAGGTCACCGCATGGACTCAGAATCACTTCAAAAACCACGGACTGTGAAACTCAGATCGTCACTGCAGATTTTCTATAAACCGATCAGTAAATAATCCGATTTTGAGTTTTAATGATGAACGCCGAGTCCTTCTCTAAAGGGTCCAAACCTGGTCTTCTGGGTCCACTAAGGTCTACAGAGGGTTGGAGAAAGAAGACCTGGACAAGGACCAGGAACCTGAAGGTCGTTTTTTTGATTCTGACGTTAAATTTAAATTGAGTCGATAATTATTATTTTTTCAACATTTTTTCAGTTTAAATTTTTGTTTTTATAGTTTTTTTTTTCTCTTTTTTTAATCAGCTGATTCTGAAGTTTTCTGTGGATTTATAATTAATTAAACTTTAAAGTCTTAAATGTGGAATCAGAAACTCGGGACTTTAGGGGGGACTGAACTCGCCAACACTTTTTTCTTTTAGGCTGCTCTCCCTCCCTCTCTCTCCCTCCCTCTCTCTCCCTCCCTCTCTCCCTCTCTCTCTCTCTCTTTCTTTGGATTCTCCTTAAATTCTCTGTGAATGTTTATCCTCGTGTGACTGAAGCTAAAATGAAGGAAACTGTGTTTATATTTTACACAATAGTTGTCAATATTGTCTTTAGTACAAAAAGAAGAAGATACTTGCTTTTGGTTCCAACATATTAGGCATAGATACTCCCCTGTCCATCCGTGCAAGAGCTGCTCGGCCATCCTTAATGTGCTAAAGAATAAAACATACACAAATGTAATATAGTGGAAGGAAGGAGTCTGCATGGTCATGAGTATGTCCACTGATGACTGTGGGCTCAGGAGTCACTGGATGGAGTGGGAAACTATATTCAGTATTTCTAAAGCGGCGTTTCTGCAGATTCTTTTATTCTATATATCAATAAATATTCTATAAATGTAAATATA